TGACACTGGTGAGCGTGTCAGGATGCTCGTGTCCAAGCACCTCTTCATATCCTTCCAACGCCCGTCGATGCATCGCTTCCGCCTCTTCATATTTCCCTTGCCCGTCAAGCACTGAGCCAAGGTTATTGACACTGGTGAGCGTGGAGGGATGCTCGCGTCCAAGCACCTTCTCTCGTGCTTCCAACGCCCGTCGATGCATTTTTTCCGCCTCTTCATATGTCCCTCGAAGCAATAAATACCATCCGCAGTTGATGGAAATCGTAGCCATATGCAGTCGATCTTCTTCATGCCCATCAGATATCGACCTCATTACCTCTTTCGCATGCGGAAGCAGCCTCTGACATTCATTCCAGCTCTCGTACTCCCCATAGGGAAACATCTCGGCCATGATGGCTCGCGACTTTTCTTGCCACTGTGCCAGCTCGAGGTGGATCGCTAGCCACGTCCGGACCGATAACTGTACAAGTCGGTGCATATCAAATGACCCCGTTTCAAGTTCAACCCGAATAAGAGAATAACTGATCAGCGGTGCCACTGCATCTTCAAATTGGAGCCCATCACCATCCGCACGGACAAGGCCTTCTAGGATCCCCTGTCGATCAAACATGCTCATTAACGCAAGTAGGTCCGTCGCCGCTGGCCGCTCGTGGCGGATTTGCTCGAAGGATAGCTGCCATGTCGTAATGACCGCATACCGAATACTAGGGTCCCGCCGGAGGTCTTTGGCGTCCTCATGCTGAAGAAGATGTGTCTGGTTCGACTCGCTCTCACGGAACAACTGAAGGTACCGGGAGACCGTGACCCGAGATGATCGATTCGCAATATAAGACCCCGCCTGGGTGATGGCTAACGGAATGTATTCTAGTGCTTGCACTAGTGCCTTCTGGTCCTCTCCAGACTCTTCAGGCTGGGGTGCCGGAATCCTTGCCCGTAACAAGGCGAGAGATTCTGCCTCATTCATTGGCTGAATCTTGATCACATGACCGTCGTTCCCCACCAGATTCCGTGCCGCAAGCCCATTTCGCGATGTGATCAAGACCGACCCGTGGGCGGCCTGGGGCAGGAACCTCCCCAGTGGCCCTCGTTCATCGGATATATTGTCACGGAAAAAGATACCATCGTCATCCGCATTATCCAACACTATCAGCCAGCGCCCATTGCGTGCATCACACAACCACTGATACACGAGCTGGAGGATGTTCATCTTCGGGTCGTCCCGTCCCGGAATCTCCGCAACTGCGGCAATCTGCTGATAGCCTTGTTCCAGCCGCGCCGCATTGCTGGCGTGGATCCAAAACACCCACATGTCCGGTGTGGATTCTCGCACAAGATAGGAATACTCGATGGCTGTCTGGGTTTTTCTGAATGGCAGTTCTATTAGTTGTTATTCAACACGCTACATTATGGAGACGGCTCACCCAACGCCGGCCAAGCCCACCAACGCCACCCGCTCATGTCGCTGACCGATCGCCTTGTGTCTTTCCTTGATGGCGCTGATGACAGCCTCACGGCCCACAAACATCGGGTCTTTCTTAAAAGGTACTGTGGAGCGCGGTTGGGGCGTTTGAGGCGTCTGCGCTGTAACAGTTCCCATTAGTTCGCACAAAGACACCGAAGCAAGTCACTCACTGAACCGAGCTGCCACCACCGATGGCGCCTCTTTTGAGAACTGCCGTAGCTTATCGAGCGCCGTTCGATATCCGGCCGCGTTGCGCGTGTCGAATTTGACCACCATTGAGTGGTCTGCGTGCAGCGGCACCTTGTCCTCTACATGATCGGGGAGCTGCAGGAGAGCCGAGTCTGCGCCAACCGTCGTCATAAAATCTCCAGTGCGTTTCCAACGTCCGCTTTCCGAGTCCTACAATCGTCAGTGTATATCGTAGTCTGTTCAAGATGAAGGCCAACACATACCAAGACCAACCGCCTCGTCTGCTCTGTCTCATAGAAACTAACCACTCTTCGATCTCTAATCAAGTTCTTGAAATCCGCTAGCTGGTGGATCAGTAAGTCGGATTTACTAGAAATCTGCTGCAGCAACTGCCCTCGCGGATGGCTGTGATCCCCGGCTAGCATCTGCTGGATATCGTCCATCACCAATCCTTTATGTGGGATGGCAAAGAGGATCATGCCGTACGTGGCTCGATGCAGCGATCTGATCGCCAGGTGGTCTTCTTCCATGGTCTGGATGGCCTTTACTAGGCACTATAGGTTGATGTCAGCATACAATCTATTGTCACTCGAATTGGATGGAGGTCCTACGTGAGCCAAGATAAGACCCCCAAAGCTGTGTGCGATGAATATCAAAGGTCTCTGCTGGAGCTAGTGGAACAATCAGCCAAACTTCTATCAGTAGACAAGTCAGATAGTGTCTCTCCTACCTCCTTTGTGTTCCGAATTTTCTTGATCTCCTCCATCAGCTCCCGCCCGTAATCGAGGATCGTATCGACTCCGTGGCTCGACAGCTTGGAGTTGTATCCGTAGATCATGGTGCGACACTGCGGAAGATCCTTCGACAAGAAGTCCCGGAGCCACATCCGACCAAGATTTCTTCTTCCTTGCCATGATCCGTAAGCATGTCCATCCAGTCCGGCAATGGCAATAATACTATGTGGCATGATCAGTTAATGTTAATCTTCTAGGTGTAGATAACGGCACAGGTCCTTACTCGGCAACCACAGGCTCATTCTCGTCTGGCGCGTAGAGCTGGGTAAATCCAAAGAAGTGGCAGTCAAAGTTGATATCATCGTCTCCCATCTCAACCTGCCAGTCTCCAAGCGGGTCAACTCTTAGCTCACGGAGGAACTGAGGCACCCCACCGCGGAACTGCACCAGAGCCGCCCTCTCTGTGTCACTTTCATAGCATGAAGGCACGATCGTGATCTCAGCTTTGATATGCGATCTCTCGTCGTCCGCGAAGTTGTCGTTGAGCGCCTCGTGTAATGCGGTCTTGAGGTCCTCATCGAGTAGTTCCCTCGACAGGCCGGTCACCCGGAAGACGTGCGACCTTTTACTAGCCATCGTGATTTATCTTCGTCAGAGTGGATACATCAGACGAGAGTGGACTTTGCGTCGCTTGTTGATGGATGACCACCTTAGCCGGTGAGGCTGTATCAATCAACACGTGCGGGGTATCACGCATCCACCTCCAATCATTGCTACTATCACTTCGTAGATACTACTGTGTACCAAATCCAACGTCCTCCCATCATTGATTCATGGCGAAACAGTTCACGGCCACAAATTGTGTCAGTCTGCTGCTACCACCTACATGATATTTCCTACTAAAGCTGATCACAATAACATGAAGTTAACTTTGTGTCTTGGCACGTTCGTACCTTAAGTCTGGCCCTGACATCACGTGCCGTAAGTTGAAACTAATCAGGCTTTGTTTAGCCCCAGGGTAGCCACTTTTGACCTAGCGCCTCCTAATAAGGGGGGTTCACTTCAGGGCAAACCGAAAAGTTTCCTGTCCCTCGGGGGATCCCGTTGACCCTGAACTCCACGTGACCTAGGTTTCCACCAATTCCTCAAAAAGGAGCGTTTAGCTTAACTTAACTTAGGTCTCATTAAACACTCCTGGTGAAATTTGCCCGGACAACGCACCTGCATTTGCTCGCTCGTCGACGGCCAAGTAACGTTATCACGTTTGCTTAATTACAACCTGACTGCCCCTTCAACTTCTGCTCGAGACCGTTCAAGTTAACTCTTGCCCAACCGACAATGTTCACTCTCTCTGCTGTTCATTCAAAGGTTAAAGCACGCCCTATTTGGCATCAACTTCACATTCCGCTTCCCATGCTCGACCGACCTGTGGAATTTAGCAATAGATGTCAAACACTCCGCGACTGTCTGAGTCTAGATCAAGAAATCAACAGAGATTAGAAACTCAAGAGTTAGGAAGATGAATATTCTCCAGATATCGTTATTAGCAAGGTGCTGAAGCTTCACATGGAGGTTCAATGCGTCTCCTCAATATTTTGTGGGATTCGCGAAGTCTGTAACCGAGGAATCTATATTAGAAAACACCTCAGTAAAGTCATCAGTCAGAAATAATTTAAGTACCAATCTGGCATAATATTTTATAACATATCTTGAACTCTACTCAAGTTCCTCGTTACACATGGCCCTCTGATCCTTGCTGTGATTTTTTTTCCACCGTAGCCGACGGGCTATCGCAAACCTCCACTCTTTGATCACTTTGAAAAGGAAAAGGAGTACTAACATCAGCATAAGGACACCAGTTACAAATCCGATCAAAGTGCTGAGCCAGTAGCAAACTGCAAATAACAAAGCACTCGAATATCTCTCATCGGATGTAGAGGCTGCGAGGCTGACCTGCATACAATTCAGGGCGATCGAGAAAAACGCAAATGCAGATATCAAGGGGCCTTGAATTCGAGCAAAATACGCTCGATACTGATAATTCTCACGTTGGTAATGGCTTTTGCCCAGAAGCATGGGCGCGTAATAGTTCAGCCGGGTTAATCGGATCTCTCCGTAATGATATCGTCCCGAAACTTCGTTTTCCGTGATGTCATTCAAACGGGCGGTGAAGTGGCAAAATCGATGCCACGTCACCTCCTTAGGAACCAGGCAGAGAGCCGGATCTTGTGCAATTCGTAGATCTGATTCATACTGAATCAGGTAGAAATACGTTCGCAGATACCCGAGTGCGGCTTTTCTCAGCTTCACCGCCGCACCATGTTTAGACGGATCACTCATGAACGTATCCCAGAATACGAAGGACGTGATGTATTGGGGAAGGGGTTTAAGGAAGATTCGGTTGTCGATCCAGACGAGATGTAGCCGAGGATCCTCGGTGACGATGATCTGTCGGCCCTTCACTCGTTGTCGATGCAACGGAGAGATATTGCTGCTATCCTGCTTTGACATCCACCACAGTCTGCCCGATATCGACTCGAGGTCCTCTGACCAGACTTCGCGGCGAATGAATTCAAACAACCCTTTTTCATCGCCAAGTTTGATCCGGGGATGGCCTGGCAGGTAATCAAGCGATGTATCCAAATCACCGTTGAGCTGATCATCTCTGTGGAAGGGGCATGGCACTGAAGAGGTTTCTGTTTGAGCTGACATTTTCTGAAGTGCCAGATTGAGAATACGCTAAAGCTCAAGACGATGCTGAATGCTGAGCAATCAACAACGAAGATTGCTTCCCCTAACAGACTTGTCGCTAAAAAGTGGGGTTTACGTTTAGCCTCGTGAGAGCCTGCGGGAGCTCAGCCTCGCGGGAACACAACGCTGCCTGACCCTACAAGAAATATGTGCAAGTAGACTAGCCAACGAGAATTTTGAGTGAGAAATTACTATGTTTACCTTTAGTAGAGACTTAGCTTGTTGTAGATAGCAGACGGAATCTCATTTTGACGTATCCCCAGCTGACAATGACATGCGAATAGGAGAAATATATAATAACCAACAGCTGGCCTATTGAAACGTTAAGCCACTTCTGGTCGATGGATTGATCAAAACACAGGATCCTCTAACGTGCTCAACGAGTCTATAAATCTAGTACTAAGCAATAATCATTCATGTCCCATGCTTGAATTTCCTGCTCCGCCTTGCGCTTCTCCTCCGATCTTGAAAGCAGCTTGCCCCCAGCTTTCGACCTCTTTTTCCGCGTGGCTTGTTCTGTCACCGTGATGTCGCGTTTCTTCTGCGCCTCAACGATATCCTCGTAGCTCATGACTTTTGCATGTCCTACGACCGTCAAGCCGCTGGATTGTCGACAGGCCTTTTCATTATTCTGCTCAAATAGGATCCGGTTCTCCTCCAGCAACAAGGCGCGCTCTGCAAATACCTTTTCGGTCGCGCGGCTCAGTGTCTGCAGACGACGTTTGCACACACCGTCTAGATTCTGGGTGTCCTGCTCGACCTCGCTTCGAAGCAAGGCGAAATGATCAGAGGTGTTCGGAGTGTGACAGATATTAGAGGACACGGTTGGAGGCTCCACTGGGCTCATGGTCTGTATCTCCGACCGGGACGCTTGACACTCTCGGAGGACGCGAGACGGATCGAATGGAAAGAGGCCACTTCTGGACCAGGCCGACCGTATATTGCGGGGTGTAAATGCCTCTTTTCGGGCACGATCATAAAGATACGTGAAGTGTGGCTTGCCAATGGTACTCACTCCAGCTCGACATGCCTGTTCAACCTGTGCCCGGTATGCCGTTTTCAGAGGACTAAAAACACCCACATCGCACGGCTGCAGTTTGTGAGACGTATGAGAAGGGAGGCGACACAGGATAATGCGGTTCGCAAAGCAGAATTTCATGACCTCCAGAGACTCATGGGTGCCGAAACCGTCGCAGATTAAGAGTCGCGGCCGACCGCCCGCTCGGTCTCGAGTCTGCGGGTCGAACACATGTTCCACCCAGTACAGACTGATTTCTGTGTTCGTATAGCCTGTTTTGGTGCAGGCAAAATGCCATCCGGGGGTGGGGTGAGTGGTCCACGAACTGCGATGGGTAGCGGCTGGCCAGATAATGAGAGGATGCAGGAACCGACCATCGGCGGAAATGCATTCAATCGCCGTGACCAGCGTCCGCTTCACCGTGGTCCCTCGATGCTTTCTCAAATCGTCTCTGCCGACGAGCACCTTGAGGGAGTTGAGAACACTGAGAAGAACTCCCGTCTCGTCCATGTTATACACGTTCTCCAGGAGAATAGCCGGATCGGCCAGCTCTCGGCCAATGATGTCAAACCAGTGTCGGATTTTGTCTTCGACCTGCCGGCCATCTCGCTTCCAATCGATCGCTCGCAGCCGTCGCGCTTTCAACTGCGGGTGTCGTCGATAAAAGCCCTGCGGCCAATTCTTTCCCGGAGGTCGGACCTTGAGGCTAGGGTCGGTAATCTGGAAATTCGACGATCGTTGGCGCACGATAATCAGGGCGAGCGATCGTAGAAACTTTACTGGAAGAGGATAGCCGTTGTCTGCCAACCGCAACACATATTCCACCAGGGCTTGCTCCTCTTGCGGGGTGAGATACTGCTGATTGGCGGCTTTATCAGCGACCGAAGGCCTGTTATTGGCCCGCCGCCACAAGGTGGACGCGGGAATCCCGGTCGATCTCGACTGAATTGCGTATGATGTGCGCACAAGACGTTGATGGGCTGAAGACATTGTGGTTATTTTTTTTTTGGCATGGTATCCTGACAGGCATTTCCTATTTAAAATGACCATCTGGGCTGAGAAAGGGCAACGGAGTATGAATACAGCGGAATACGTAAATAGCACCTAGTGAATTGCAGACCACGTTATGAATGCTCAATTGGACGTATTTGAATATTTACCACTGGCTTTATTTGAGGTTCTTGGGGACAAATTTCACCAGCCAGAGCCAACGATCGCATCACAATGTTGAGGATACCAAACTGCATTGAATCTCCATACGACGCGTCACCGCTGAATCAATGACCGACACGTGGAATATTGATGACCTTTGGTGTATTTGCCTGACTCAAATAATTGCTGCGAATTGAACAGCCGTATTTGACCCGTACAATCCGGTCGGCAATGGTGATGTTATATTAATGATATGCCCCAAAGCCCTCGTTTTGACCGTTGGACAGCAAGAAAGGATTTGAACACTGTCATTTGAACATAGTTTTCGTGTATATAGCAATTATGAAAACCGAAACATGTATGACTCTTTACATCAACAGAATTTCAACTACAGAATAGGCAAAGGAGCTACAATATTTGGATTCGGTCAGATAGCGCGTGCTTTGACCGTTGAACATTGAAAGAATTTGAATATTGTTGGTTGAACAAAATTAAACAGTCATACGTGAAAGCAAAATTGATGGTCCAAGTATGATGAAACAGAAAACAATTTTGGACCGTTCACCGGGCTCAAACTACAGAATAGAGCGGGCAAATTTCACCTCTTGGCATTTTTCCCCAGGAGCGTTTGACCAGACCTAAGTTGAACGGTTGTTTTGGTGGAACCCCGCATCCTGTCCTGTTGTGAGTCATTGGTCACGTGGGATTCCGGGTC